AATGTCAAAAAAATCTGCCATTATAATTATCAAAGTCTTACTTGATTAAACTAATGATTATTTAAGCTAATAATTAAGATTAAAGAATGAATCATTTAATAATAACAGATTTTTCAAACACAGAGATTTGTAAAACAGAAATCAGTGAAATCCAAAGTATGAATCTGTAATTAATTATATTCTCAATCAAAGATCAAAAATTATTTGCGATTATGACCTGTGTATCTATCATGGAACATGTCAGAATGAATTCCGATCGGAATTATTCCGTTTTCCCTAGAAAACACAATAGAAATCTAAGGAATAATTGAATAATTCCGATCGGAATCCATTCCGATTTGTTCCATGATAGGTGCTCTGAATGAGAACGCAGCCGAAATATGTATGAGCACAAATATATGTACATATATCCGCCATCGAGAGAGAAAGAAAAAAAATATCGTTTGAATCATTGTTGGATCATCTCAAGAGAATTTGAAATCGAAGCAACTCGAGTCTGCTTCGGATCTGGTTGCGCTCGGATCAGCTTGCAACCCAACTAATTACGATGCGTGTTGTATACTTACCCCATGTTTTCTAGATCACAAACGAGGCATACTCGCATAAAGGGAGAAGGGCTTGCCTATGACACAGATACGAAAGCCGATCAACCATACGCGCTAATAAACTGTTAATAATAGTCAATGAGACTAGCCGTCAGAGATCGATATCTTAATTACCAGGGTTGGGTAGTGCTAAGTTAAAAAGATAAAAGTTAAGTTAAAAAGTTAAAAGTTAATTAATTTTAACTTAACTTAGTTACATTTTAGACTTTTAACTTAATTTTTAACTTAATTTAGTTACATTTTATCAGTAACTATTAACTTTTAATTTGATTTTTTTTAAGTCAATCCTCAGACACAATGCGAGAGGATAATGAGTTCATAATTTAGTAATTTTATATTGTATAATCGTTATTTGTGAACAAAAATAACCAGATTCTTTAATAAATATGATGTGAGAAAGAAAAAATACGAAAAATTATGTAAAATGATCGAACTTCTTCTTTTTCTTTTTTTTGGTTGTTCGTTCGGATCAAATTTAACTTTTAACTTTTCAATTACCTTTTTTTATTAACTTAACTTTTAATTCAATTAATTTCATTATGAATTAACTTGTATTTTAATTAAGTTAAACTTTCAAGGCTATTAACTTTAATTTAACTTAGTTAAAAAAAAA